CATTGGATATTAAACAAAGCAGCCGAGGACCTGCACCTGCCTTGTTAACAACCCACATGGGTGCTTCATGAAGTTCTGGCTGCTTCTCTTCCAATCCAGCGCCCTGCTAATTTGCTGCTTTCCCAGGTTTATTGTGTCTCAAGTCATTAGGTCTATGCACCCATGTGGGAGACACAGTAGAAGTTCCAGACTCCTGGTTCTTGGCTTGAGAAGGGCCCAGCCCAGTTATGGCAGCTGTCTGGGAAGTGAACCAGCAGATGGGAGATTCTCTCTGTAAATCTGCCTCTCAAAAATAAATCAATCCTTAAAAAAGTAAAAAGTAAACGTACCTGCTTTACTATTCCCATATTTATTTTCTCACTAAAATGTGAACTTAGCAAGAGGAAATAATTCATTTTTATATTTCTAGTTTCAAATACAGTAAGTGCATAACTCAAAGTTAATCCTTCAATGAGTCTCAATTTACTGAAAGTGTAGATGAATAAATGAATGAATGAGTGATTGGAATAGCTCGATAGCTATCTATTAAATAAGAAATGTGGAAATGTTACAGGCAATATTCAACAATTATGTTCTAGCTGATATTTAGCAAATACTAAATACTAACATTCTGCAAAAGGCCTTGCTAAATCTGTTTCTAAGAATACACCTTATACTCTGCAACTGAAATGTTTCTTTTTTACTTCATTTACATCAAATATCTAAAACTTTTTAAACAGATAATATTACTTGAAATATATATGATATTGACCTACCATTATTTTTCTTTCAGGGTGATTTAAACCATTATGGTAACATTCCTTTTTCCCCCCAGGTCTACTGTGGTGTCAATAGTTTTCCATGATAACAAATTCCATTCAATAAGAATTGCTAAACATTTGGCATCAGCATTGTGATGCAGAGAGTAAAGCTTCCATCAGCGACACTGCATTTTTTAGCACTGCCATGAGTAGTCCTGGTTGCTCTGCTTCCAGATATAACTCCTAGCTAAGGGTCTGAGAAAAGCAGCAGAAGATGGCCCAAGTATTTGGACCCCTTCTATTTCAAGTGGAAGACCCAAAGGAGACTCCTGGCTCCTGGATTTGTTCCAGCCCAGCAACAGCCTTTGCAGCCGTCTGGTTAGTGACCTAGCGAATGGAAGCTCTCTCTCTTTCCCTCTTTCTTGCCAATTCTAACTTTCCAACTAAATACATAAAACTTTTTTTTAAGATTCTCAACATTAACTTCATACACTAATGAAAATAGAAAAGAAATAGTATTTGTTGTGAAAGACTTTGGAGAGTATTTAGGCTACTTCTATGTTCCCAAAGCTTAAGACTTTCAACCTGGTGAGAAAACCCAGAATTAGGGAGGTGAGGCCACATCAAGTGGCAAAGGTAGTTCAGGTAAACTGAACTAGATTGCATTTCCAAGTGGATGGAAAGTTCATGGGATATCATCAACAAAAGCCAATCAGAAGGTGTAGACGAGACATGAGCAGGGATAGAGAAAGATGAGGGAAGCCTTGGCTAGCTGTTCTGGCCTGATAAGTGGGGAGTGGATGCACAAAATGTAAAGGACTGAGTTATGTCAAGAACCTCTAGAAGGAGTCCATGTCATAAGAAGTGGCTCCTCCATAGCATGGCAAAGATTAAGTCAGTCTTGATTAACACAGAGAAACATTTATCTTTCAAAGAAAGAAGCTTCATTTATTTTTTTAAAGATTTATTTATTTTTATTGGAAGGGAAAGATATACAGAGAGGAGGAGAGAGAGAGAGGAAGATCCTCCATGTGATGGTTCACTCCCCAAGTGACCACAATGGCCAGTGCTGTGCTGATCTGAAGCTAGGAGCCTCTTCTGGGTCTCCCATGCGAGTGCAGGATCCCAAGGCTTTGGGCCGTCTTCGACTGCTTTCCCAAGCCACAAGTAGGGAGCTGGATGGGAAATGGAGCCCATATGGTTTCAAGGTGTGTTCAAAGTGATTTTAACCGCTAAGCTATCACACCAGGCCGAGAAGCTTCATTTATTAAGGGACTCATAATTAGCTGAGCATTTTACATTCATTACCACAATCTTTGGAAATGGGTTTTTCAATCAAAGAAACTGCGAAAAATTTAATTTGGAGACATTAATTTGCTTTTTTCTAACTTGATCTTGACCTCATAAATCATGTTCTTAATTCCTTCTTTAACTTGTCTACATTTGCTGTCAAATTTTTCAGTGTTAATGAATGTCCCCTAAACAGCTTGACATGGATTAGCACTGGTGATTTTGGCTTTAGATTTATATGCTAATACAACACACTGTAGTTCATGCGCCATCCTCTTGACAAACAAAGCATTTGTTGGCTCTCAAGAATTTTATGTGTAACTAAACCTTCCGTGTAACTAAACCTTCCTTTCAGCAAACCTATCTCTCATGTTGAACAGAATTTATCAGAATTTAACGATATTTCTTTTAAAAGTATAGGTCTCCCTTCTATCCTATCCTTGATTCCTTGTACTGAAGAGAGTCATCTCCAGGAAGTGAGGTGATACAATTACACGTATCTTTGAGGGCACAGCCTCAAGGAGACAAATTCATAATTTTAGAAGTACTCAGATCTCCACCATCAAAAGCCCCTAAAGGACACAGCAGTTTAGAAATGGACTCAGAAGACTTCTTCCTTCCTGGAGTCCTGGAGCAACATCTCAGAACAGTTAGACACTTCTAGAGGGCTGTCCCAGGGCAGGGCTGAAAGTGAAATGTCTCACCAGACAATGTCTGGAAGGGAGCATCTGTGAAGAAAACAAGATTCCTCCCTTGCAGGAAAATTCCAAGGTGTGTCTCCGACCCACCTCCAGCCCTCCACCCTTGGTTACTCAGACCTGACCCTAATCTTCCAGCAACAGTTGGCATCACTTCCCTGACTCTGCCATTCCTGACAAGATGTTCACTATCTTTGAATCCAGATCATCCTTAAAATGTCAAATGAGACCGGAAAGAACTATGAAGCTGTATGACAAGAGATTTCTCACTGGATCACATAGGCCATACTGTGATGAAACAGTGGTTTGTTTTTCTGTGTGAGCATACATAAATTTTCAAAGTAGTCTAGATGGGAAAGAATGGAGGAGAAGAGAAAACCTAACATGCTTATTAGGATTCATTTGTAAAATGGCACTGGCAAGGATTCTCACTTGGGAGAGGAAAGCATCGGAAGCTAGGAGGATTTGTGGGTGAGTTTCTGGCAGCTTCCTCTTCCTTCAGCCTGCTTTCAGCCCAGCATCTCTGCCACACAGACCTGCCTTTATTCAGGCAAATGTGAACACATTTTTCCAACTGTGCTTGTTCAGAAAAAAAAAAAAAAAGGAATGAGAAACACTGAACTAGAGATACAAGCACATGAGCCATAAAGCCCCTTTCTCTACTACTATAATCCACCAAGATCAAGGTTAAGGAATGGCTGCTAAGGCTATAGACCAATCAAACTGGGTTCTTGTAATTGTGAAACTTCGAACTTTCATGTTTATGGATGTTTAGACTAAGCATGCAAATTCAGATTCAACGCAATAGATCTACCCTAGAAAACTAACCTAGATCCATTCTCTCGTGAAGTTAGGACTAGTTTTTTATTTGTTTGTTTGTTTGCTTGCCTGTTTGGTTGTTTTTTGAGCCACATAACCTTTCATTTTGATTTTCAGAGAGCTCACCCAAGCCTACCTTGCAACACACCATTAACACTCACATTATGAAAAGGTAAACGTGAATTCAAACAGGTGTGACTTATTTAACCTAAACTTGTCTCATCATAGTATAAACACCTGGGCTTTACAGTCGTGTAAGCCCTAATACAAAAACAGTTCCAACTTCATGTTCCTGATAACTATGGCACTACAGAAAAATAAAAATAAACTCATAGTAACTATCTGAAGATGCTATGATATTGGAGAAGTCAATATTTCTACTACAACAGAAATTAGTATATAAATACTGAAATTAGCTGTAACAACCCCTCTTACTCTCAAAATAAATTCTCAATATATTAGTTATATTAGCATGCAAACTGAGAAGCTGTAGAACAATTATAAAATTATCTTAATTTTTAACTATGAACACTTAAAATATTTAAACACATAAAAATATGGCACTTGTATATATTTGGATCAAGCTCTGATAATACAGGCTGTACTCATTAAATTCAGCAAATTTTCATGAATTCATTTCCAATACTGATTCAACTTTTTAAATTACAATGCTTAAAAGTCTTTTCCAGAGTGGACAGACTAACATTTATAATGATATATTTGCCATCTACAGTTCCAGTTGTGATGCTACTTTCAAGCTGTGTCAGAGAAACAAGTGACTCTGGTGAGCCTAAACAACACACATACTGAACACATGCCGGCCAACCATTTACTCCACAGTTGGTTTCAGTTGTACTCTCCTGTGCCCAGTAATCCTGATCAGCATCTTAACTATCTTCACTGGGCCAATGAAGACCTCGAGTTAATACAAATATACAGGCAAAATTTCCTTGAACCCAACCTTAAGAGAAATAAAAAGCTTAGGATTTGGCTGCTTTGGTTAAAACAGGGTACAAAGACAAAATCTTTAGGCAAAGGGAGTTAAATTCTCATTCACACTGACAACCTATGCATTGCCTTCAGTGGGCCCCCACAACATTCTACATGGAATTTTATCACTGAAGCAACGCCATTTGGGGGGGTTTTGAGAGTTATGGTTTTGATTTAAAGAAGAACGCAGTCCATAATGGAGAGCAGAACATTAACGCATGAAAATAAATGAATATCTTCAAAGAAGGGGACACCGACCTGATTCTGAGCGCCTGTGGCCATGCTCCAGAGGAGACTCCAAAAAAGTCAGCTCACTCCTCTTGAATATTAACTGAAAGTCATAGAGGAATGGGGCCCCTGCCACAACCACCCCTTGTGAACCAGCCCTGAAGATTGGGCAGGAGCGTCCTAAAACCACTGACTTTAAAAACAGTAGAGTTAAAAATACAAAACCAAACCTTACCAGACAGAAGCAAGCTGACTCCATAGAGAACTAAACGGGCTAAAGATTCCATGCTTCCCCAAATCTCTCCATCCAGTGTCCACAGATATGCATCAGGTCCCAAGGATCCTTTCAAAAACCTGGAGTTGTGCGACTTTCCATTCGCATGTTCCACTTGGTCTTGTTTACAAGTTGGAGGCAAGAAGGAACAGCACAGAAGCAGGCTGTAGCAGTCTCAATTTCTGCCTCAGCACAGGGAGTTTTAAGTTCCTTTTTCCTGTTTCCTTTGTAGATTAGGATGGGAAAGGCTGTATCTTAAAGGCATTTGGTATCCGCGGGGCTTGGGGCATGGCAAGCCCTATCCATCTTGCAATTCATCAAAAACACTTATCTGTTGTCGTGGCTTCTGCCTCTGCGTGAGCTGCTCCTGTGGAGTAGAGGGATTTGGGTTGGAAGCGTGGGTCCTGGTCAGCACTTTCACAAACAATGAGGGTATGCTCTGGAGGGCGGGGAGCTGAGAACAACAAGCCCTCCACCTAGGTATGGTATGCGCTCATGACCAGCCAGCACTTCGCGGGACTCCAGCAGCAGCTGGCTCAGGCGGTGTGTGTGTTTGGAGGGGTGGGGGGGTCGGCTGAAGATTCCTGACCCACGGGGCTTTGGGGCGTGGGAGGCAGCTGTTGCTTTCATGGTCTCATTTTCACCCACATGTTTTGAATTGGGAGAAGAAGTTTTCCAATTCATACAACCTGAAAGGCAATTAATTTGAGTGAGCCCCGGTGAGGTCAATGCTGAGTGTAGCCACAAGAGACCCAGAGTCCAAAATTGTTGGCTGTTTTCTTTAACACAGATGGCCTCTTTTTTGGCTGTGAGCCCAAAGACACCCAAGTTACTGGCTACAGCATGGATTTTTATTACGAATTCATTAGAAAGGGTCTAAATTCTGCATGAGCATGCACATGGAAGGATTTTAGTATTGTGGACTATTTTGTACTTATTGACCAATGCTGTGTCAGGAGCAAATTATTTTTAAAAACTTTAAAACCTATGTCAAAGCAAACAAATAACTAGATTTAGATTTTCAAATGTATTCATAAAAGCAGAGAGAAAATAATCCTTGGAGCAGCACTAAAATGAGTTCAGAGACCCCCTAAATTTGTCCATATGCTAATTTCTCTACAATACCAATTATAACTGTAGAGAAATATTTAAGAATAAATATACTTAAGAATAAATACCTTGTTCATCCTTTGTCTCCACACTTGAGAGGAAAATAAACTCTCTGCTCCCCCTTTTCCTACCCACTGGGGGGAAAGGCAGATGCTGCAAGTCTTGACTAACTTCCATCCCAGGCTTTAACACATCAGAGATGACCTTCAAAACCAATTAATGTCTCCAATCTGCAGGAATGGAGAAGCCTGGGCACTGTCTTTAAGCATACCTGAGTTACAATACTGGCTCAGTTACATGTGGCCTGAAAATGTTACTCCACCTCTTAGAGTCTTGGTGTCAACGGCTGTACAGTAGCAATAATACCTCCCCCACGGGTTTTGCAAATGGATTAAATGAGGTATAAAATATGTAAAAATATCAGGCACAGTGCCTAATTCATGGAAGGTTTTCATTAAATGTCAGTGAAAGCAAGCAGCAGCTCTGATTCTGTCCTGGATCCCAAGAGCTTCTGCCAAAAAGCTTTTCTCTGTTCCTGCAAGACGGTTTTCATCGTAGCACAGTGAAGGACCAGTCAAGGAGTTGGGTGTCCTGGGCTCTAGTTTCAGCTGTCCTATTATTTGCCTGTGAGATCTTGGATAAGTCATTTCCCATCTCTAATCCTATCTCCCCAATTGTAAAAGGAAGAATTTAGACTGAATGTGACAAGCTTCTCTTCTGATTTTATCCTCTATTATGTCTAGAATAATTGAATAAAAGGCTCCACTCTCTTTCATCTGAGCAGTTCAAAGAAGATGCTGGTTTTGTATTTCTGTCACCATGGAAGCCTGAAAGGATCCCAAATATGCCCTATTTTAAGAACATGGTGGCCTAGGTATTGTGAGGTCCACTGACCCCATGTCGTATGGGAGAGCAAGAGGCCTTGTAGAGAGACAGTCTTCAGAATACCTGCCACCTGCAGCCCAGGCTTTCTGTGTTTATGCTTCTTGGGCATAACAGGAAGTTGTCATTGCTGACACTCCCTCCCACTGACTACTTCTGGCTAACTGAAGATGCTGCCTTGTTTTCTTTTCTGCTACAATTCCCTCTGCTCTCCAGAAAAGCAGCTCAGTTTCATCCTTTCCCTGCTTATCTAGGAAGATGCTCTGTTACTCAGAGGTGTTTTTCAAGATTTTCCTTCTTCCATTATCCAGAACTGGTAACTCCATTTCATTTATCTCTATGTAATCCTGAAATGTTGCTCGCAGTTTCATCTATTCCTCCAGTAATTCAGAAAAGCATGGGATATAATTTCATCTTTCAGACTACAGAAAAATTATTCCAGGTACTCCTTATCACTGTCACCAGCATAGTGGTTCAATTGTATCAACAATCCTAGGTTTCCTGTGCCTGTATACAGCTATCTCCCCAGTCCAAAGCAACATTTCTCTTGGATGTCTGAATAAGCATAAGACATAAATTCCAGCTGTGAAATGAAAAGTTACTTTGAAGATAAGAATTCCCAGACATTCTGTTTCTGCTTTCTGACATGCAGAGCTCAGAACCTGGAGAAACAAACAAGGAAAAGTATTAGGTGTTTCAGCACACATTTTGGGGCCAATAAGTATATAGAGCTGATGGCATGCCAGGGCTCTCCAGGGAAGGGAGAGGCCACTCCCACACTTGGATAGTATTTCCCCCAATACATAATATTTTTTTTTAGGTTTTTTTTTTCACGTTTTCCAACTGATTATTTTTTTTTATTAATTGCATTGCATTATGCGACACAGTGTTATAGGCACGGGGATTCCCCTCAACCCTCCCCGAACCCTCTCCCCATGGTGGTTTTCTCCACCTTGTTGCATTACCACAGTTCAAATTCAGTTGAGGTTCTTTCATTGGAAGTATTTACCCCAATACATAATGTATTAATAAAATGGCACATACCTGGATATGGCCACACCCCTCCTGTAAAAGTAGTCGGCAGCCATTTTAGGGCATCTTCACTAGTTGACAAGTCTTGTTGAGGACCAGGTGAGCCAGCTCTGAACTGCTCCATGCACCTGGAGAGGCAGAGACACTCTTCCCCAGCCTTAACCGACTAACTCTCATCTTCTATGTCAGCCTCAGACAAGTCACCCCACACGGTTCAATCTGAAGCAGGCTTCCCCTGCTAGACTCTCTGTACCCCTTATTCAACTGCTAATCACTATCATCCCTGAGTATTCATTTAGATTGCTTAAGGATCCTCCATTGATAGCAAATTCCACAGATTCAGCAGAATCTGTGCATATAACCTACACAAATATATTTTATTCACATCTAATACAATGTAAATGTTGCATAATTTTTATTATTATATTGTTCAGGGAATAATGACAAGGAAATAGTCTATGTTCAGCACCCATACACTTTAGTCCATGATTGCTTGAACCTCTGGATGTGAAACCCATGGACATGGAGAGTCTATCGTGTTTATGTTGTTGTGTTTTTAAGGTCCTCTCTGACATAAGTTAGACTGCAGTCTCTGCGATGCTGAGACCATCCCTAATTTGTGCTATTGCAGGCATTTAGGGATAATACATAGGGTCTCTCTCTTCCTCTCTCTCTGTCTCACAGCCTATCAAATAATCGTGGTTTTTTTTATAAAGGAAAACTAGTTTGAACATCATGAAATTAAAGCACAACTACCTCACCAATACTACATATAAATCATAAATATGTACCAAATGTGAACTGTTTTCAAGTTGTTATGAAATTGATCATTTTTATTTTCTTCTTTATAACTTTTTTACATTTTCCTTTTAAAAAAAATATTTCATTTGTTTCAAAAGTCACAGTTACAGACACAGAGAGGTGGGGAGAGGCATAGAGAGTTATTTTATCTGCTGGTTCATTTCCCAGATGACAGCAATAGTCAGGTGCAGGCCAGGTGAAAGCCAGGAACCAGGAGCTTCTCTCCAGTCCTCCCACAAGGATAACAGGGGGCCAAACACTTAGGCCATTTTTTATTATTTTATTTTTAAAAGATTTACTTATTTTTATTGGAAAGTCAGATTTACAAAGAGAAGAAGAGACAAAGAAAACGATCTTCTATCTGCTGCTTCACTCCCCAAGTGGCTGCAACAGCAATAGCTGAACCAACCCAAATCTAGGAGCCTGAAGCATCTTCTAGGTCCCACGGCTTTGGCCCGTCCTCGACTGCGTTCCCAGGCCACAATCCGGGAACTGGAAGGGAAGTAGAGCAGCTGGGACACAAACCTGTGCCCCTATGGGATCCCGGTGCATACAAGGTGAGGACTTTAGCCTAGCCTATTAGGCGGCTTCCCATCTTGCCCAGTTTTACCCATGCCATCAACAGGGAGCCTGGAGTACAGCAGTTTGGGCACATACTAGCATCACGGGTAGTGGCTTTATTCACTACATGTTACTGCAGGCCCCTTTTTCATGTCAACATTTTTAAAACAGCTGAAGACGTTTTAGGGGGAAATCCTTAAGGTAGCCCACCCAGAACAGCAGAGTATACTTCAAAACACCCACCAGCAACAGCACCCACGCGTGCCTCCAGCTCTTGGAGGTGAGCAAATGGAAGGAGGTGTTCGCCAACTGCAGCACACATAGTCTGTGTTTTCTGGCTTTTGCTAGGGTAAGGGTGCTGAGCCTTCACAGCCACCACATCTGGCTCCTTCAGTACTTTCATAAGCTTTTATTGTGAACCTGCTGTACTTAACAGTGGCTTGCAGAAAAGGAAGGGTCATCAACAATTAAGTCTTGGCCTTCAGCCAGAATACCACAGTTAGAAGTGGTAACACCCACCCTGGTCTGGAGTGGCTGGTTATGGAAAATGCCTGACCCGATCTGAACCCCATTTACTCTAAAACCTCTCAGCAACTGTAGCATTTTTGTCTCTTTTTATTTGTTAGCATCTAAATGGCAAGCACCACAGTGGTTGCTATTGGAAGAGACATAGAAATACAAAACGTGGTATCTGCTTTTGAAGTTCACAAGTAAATAATCCCTGCATGGCAACAACGCAGGCAAACAGAAATGTTAAACAACGAAATCAGGCATAATATGGTTCAATACCAACGGGTGGTACAGGTAGTAAATTTTCAAGTACTAATTTGCTTTGGTCCTCCAGTACGTATGATACAGATACTTGTAGCTTTATTTCTTCTCTGGAATTTCCTTGCAGCAGGTGGTCTCTTTCTAGATAGGACTGTCAGCCAAAAGGCAGGAGGAGCTCTGCCTTTCATTTCAGATAATCTGTTGCTATTCAGGGAAAGAGAAA